AATTGTTGGTCTCGGATTTTTTCAGAAAAAATATGAAGCGACAGGGTGAAAAAAATAAAATAAAAACAGGTCTAGGCATCCTATTATAGGCTTAAATGCTACGAAATGAGCCATGAAGTCAACATAAAAGGCCGGGTTAAAATTTAAACATTGAATTTTTGAACTTTTAATCAAACCACTGCAATGATAGATGGGAAAACTGTAACAACTAGGAAGAAAAGGACTTTCCTCAACTGTTGGGGGCAAAACATGAGCATTTTTCAGTTGATTCAGGACCAGAATCAAATTTTTTTTTTTGCAAATCAAGAAAAAAACGAAGAGGCGAATCCGAGAACCAACAAATTAAATTGGTGTGGCCTTAGGTTCCCACAATTAGAAAAGCTGGCCAGAAAGATCGACTGCCAGAGGAAAGGCCAACAAACTGGGCCGAAACACTACGAAGCTGGCCCGTAGATAATTGTCACCAGGCTACCACCAGGTTTTTGTAAGGGATTATGGATAGTAGAATTTGGCAAAAATAGGCCAGAAGGTGAGCCCACTTTAGGGGACTACCCAATACTACTAACTGCGAGGGCAAATGAGATCCTACAATGGCTTCCCTGGCATTCCTCTCCCCATTGAAATATATTAATTTTCACTATTATTATTATCTCTTAGCAAGCATAGTTTGAGTATGATCTAAGAAAGAAGTCCCAAAGATGAGTCTTATGGAGAAATATCATTGGTGGCCTATGCCAACTGCCGGGATCGAACTCACAACCTCTTGGTCCAGGACAGGATCACTCCTAACCACTGGACTATCAAAGCATCTACCATGACACTCAGTAACAAGGCGTGACTAAAGTGATTCTAATCGATTAACCCCTTCTGCTGCCTGCCTGAATTACCCTTTCCTAGAAACTTCAGGACAAGCAAATTACATGTAGTAAAAGACTTCCTGTGTAACACTCAGAATCTAGATCTGAACATAAAAACCTCCCTACTATGGACATTAGTTAGCCTTGTTGCCAAACCTATTTTGTCCTGTCTTATTTGCTGAGAGATGAAAGATACTTGGCAGCCAAAATAGGTTTGGGAACCAAGCTAGTAAAATGTAAGTTTGGTAACCAGGCTAGTACAATGTAAGTTTGGTAACCAGGCTAGTACAATGTAAGTTTGGTAACCAGGCTAGTACAATGTAAGTTTGGTAACCAGGCTAGTACAATGTAAGTTTGGTAACTACATTGTTGTAGGGTAGTACAAAGTAAGTTTGGTAACCAGGCTAGTACAATGTACCATCTGACAAGACAAGCCTTCTCCAATCAACTGTCAAAGGAAGCTAGCATAAACATAGCAGTGGTGAAAGATTAGCTTTACATAAGAATCTTGTTTGATAACAGGGGCACATTGGAGACACTTATCAATAGATCCAAATTCTGTTATCTAAAATTGTTAACAGGCACGAAAAAACTTTTCTAGGACATCATAATGATGTCATCATAATTCCTGCCCACCTGATACAATGTAAGATTTTGTTTGAACCAGTTGGTTGATCTCTTGCACATGTAGCAGTAAATTATGATGAAGCTGATGACCTTGTCTTCTAAAGTGCTGTACTGTAAACTCATTTATTTACACAAGACTTGAAAAGGAGTTTTTCACTGTGTTTTAAGTGCTTGGTTGAAACAATTCTGTAGTATAGCAGTTATATATCGGAAACACATTTGTGCTGTCATAAATTCAATGTCTTAACTCCAAAACTGTGAAATACAGTACCGCCATACACAAGAAAACTGTTACTCAAGCAAGTGGATAGAAGTTTGAAAACAGTCAGACGTTTCAAGTACATGTAGCATCCACCACTTTTTGTCAGTGACTAATGGAATCTGCAGTTGAACCAAAGTTTTTGAAAAAAAACAAACAAAAAACAATTAAATGATATGAAAATGAGGTGAAAAAAATCCATAGGAAACAAAATATAAGAGCTCCAGTTGCTTGAGTAACTGTTTTCTTGTGTATCACATTACCTGGATGTCTACCCTTCATTGACATAACACCGCCATAACATAAACATTTCAAGCTTTACAGTATTTATGCCGGACCCTGTTCAGTATATATCATCTTAATTAACTACCAGGGCAGGTTCTGGACTCCATCAGGTGCACTTGTCTGCCCCTCCTGATTTAATGGGAGGTGTTCTGTTTAGTTTAACACACTTTAGGCCACACAAACATGATTTTATGGATGGCAGCTACAACCAGATTAACTCAGACCTGCTTCCTGAAATCAGGACGTACCATGATTCTCTTTTATTGAGGGCCTGCATGGGGGGATCCTGGCAATGCTTAATTGTAAATTCAGGCAGGCCGGCAACATTTGAAGGTAATTAAACTGTTCTTGTATTAGGCGTTGGAAGCGACTTCTTGTATTCATGGGGGTGTCTGGCAAAACTAGACTGCAGACCATTGATAACATGATTTTTTTAAATTTCTTATGCGATTATGTGATTTTACCATAATTTTTCAATAAAGTTTGACGTTTTGATAAAATTTAATGAACTCAGGATAAGAAATAAACTACGACGTGGTGATAAAGCGACCAATTATGCTTCATTCACAAACAATTTCCCGACAACACTTAACGTTGAATTAAAGCAGTTGGCTACGATTAACGCTGAATTGACTATGGTTCATGGAAAAAGGCACAGACTATTCTTTAGACAGTTCCTTTAGGTTGGTAGGTTAAAGTTGACTGGACATTCTTCTAATATAACACAACCAAGCTGGGAGCAGTAAGTACTTGTAGCAGCTTAGCCTGGAATCCATCCATCCGATTTTCTAGCTCCAGCTAGATCCCTCAAGCTAGAATAGTCCATATTCTCTCTCTCCCCTCCCCTGGCCCAATGAAATGTTTAATCATTACTTAGTAAAATCTATATCTAACTTCAAAATTCTACACAGGCAATACAACCCAGTATTTTGAGCCCTGCAAAACAAGCTGATTTCCGTAATTATGTGTGTTACGCTGTTGGGCAGTTATTATGATATACTATACTGATACAGTACTATACTCAGTCTGATACAGATACATTTCTTTTGCTTCCATATGGTTTGGAATCTCTTGTGAATGCCTATAACCTGATATTTGTGTGGACTTGTGTGGAACTGACTGAATGAAGAAAAGCAGTGGTATCCTTTAAACTACATGCACTTCAACATTGAAGCATTCTAAGGACCAAGGGTCACCTAGGGTTAACACAGGCCCCTTCCAAAACAATTCATCATTTTGTAAAAACAAATACGCTTCACTTTGTACTTGAGCATGCTGACTAGTTTTTGATCTTTCACTTCCCTTTTCAATTTCCTGTTTTTTTGGCAACCCTGCAATGTATGAACAGCAATACCGGTATGCTTAAAATAGTAGGAACCGGAAGATTGAAATCAAATATGAGACAGAACTCTGTCTTGTTATTCTGACAAAAGAATGTGGTCCTCAGAATGATGAAGGTCAAGTTGAGTACAAAATGTATGATACTTTCAAGCTGTGTTTTAGCTTAGTGCACGAAGTAGACATAGTGTATCACATTCAAAATATGCACAGATTTTAGTGCATTAAAAGCATAACATAGGGATTTTCTAAAGTTTCAAACAGGGATTTTCTAAACTTTCAAATCACCTTCAGCTAGATTTTTCTTCATATTGGTGGGACCAATATGAAGTTTAAATCAGTAACCCAGAAATCTTCATAGTTTGTTACTATGCTGCTGCTTCTACTAGATTAAGGATTGGTTTTAGACTTACATGTATTTTTTTACATTGAATTTTATGTATTACCTTCTAGTGTATATTTGTATTAAATAATTTTTTCCTTATACTACAGCATTTGTATTTTACCTTAGATTCTAATTTGCATATTCATTTTGTATTATGTCTGTATTTTTGTGAGTCAAACATTACCAGCTGAGTCTACCAGTGCTGATCAAACTTCAAAGTAAATACATAATATTTATATCATTGCCCATAAATACAAAACAAACTACAATGTAGTCATTAGTCTTATACAAGTTTGCCTTTAAACACACCCATACATTGCAGCTTCTATCAATATGTAGCTTAGAATCTTTGTGTAGATTGTTCTAGATTAATTAGCCTGGTCTTATACAATGGATTCTCTTACATTGTACTAAGTCTTGCTAGAATTGTTGTGCATTGACTTGACTTCATTCCGAAGTTGATAACGACCTTCATGAAGGTCACAGAACCCCCCCCCCCATATCTATATTTACCCCTGATAGCTTACCACATAGCAGCAGAATTACCATGTAAACTTCCGGATTACGGCTACATTATGGGCTCAGTGAATAATAATAGCCCACTTCTGGTTGCCCAAACAAACTCACACCCTCGGAGAATACGAATGATATTGATATACCATAAGCAGATTATGGAATTAGCTGCTATGAGGGCGGTAGTCACTGTCTAACTGCTCCTTGACCTGCCACGGAAAAATACCTTGACTCTTGTCACGACCCATTTCTCAAGTAGTGGAGAGTTAAATCCAGTCCTTCCTCTGGGAAACTGCAGGTTTCCTGCCATGTGGTTTCAAGTATCAAACTTGTAACTTACTGGTACTGGCATTTCCCTGAGGGCAGATGAACTAGTTTCCTTCAGTCAAAGTTAAAAATCTTGAACAAGTGTTGCATGAGATAGCCATCACGGTATAAGGGAGCACTGCCAAGCCAAAGTGGACTTTTGGTCATTTACATGATTACATGAATTGGGGGATATTTGCTCTTTGTTTCAATTCAAGGGCATTCCTTGGGTCTAGATAGGGAAGGGTGGCTAAGGTCTTTTGGGTGTTCTAAAAATACTAGTTACTGTATAATTATATGGACCTTAATTTTTTTTATCAGGAGGTACCTTATTGTAAGACAATGATTTATACAAATGGAGAGTTTTTCAGAAAAAATAGGCTTGACTTTTAGATCCTTTGGCCTTTTAGATCTTTTAGCAACCAAAGCTCTACCAATTCCTTCAGTCCTAGGCTGCTCTCTGGATACTATTGAGTTATTCCCACATAATCATACGATATTTGATATGTGGGTAGGTCTTGGAAAAAACGAAGGTCAAGGTCAAATTTGGGGCTCTTGGTGGTCGGCCATGGTACTGCAGCAGGGTTTTGTATCTTTTGTCCTGAACCGTGATTAAACTCTAGAAATTTAACATACAAACAAATGTATGAACCTGCTATAAAATCAATCTAAATCAAATGACAGGCATCAACATACCAGTGTGGCATCCAGGTAGTCCATTTTCTCCTTCAGCTCAGGTGACTTGATGTTAGGGTAGGGCAGTCCTACCATCACCACACACCTGGGGGGAGGGGGGTAGAGTTAGACCTGACTTACACAGGTTCTTGACGTATGTCAAACAGGCTGATTTACACACAGGGGTGTACGCGGTTTTCATGTATAGTATTTGTATTTGTATTTTTATATTGTAAACCTTTGTATGTGTCACACTGTATGTAATGTTTTCTGTATTTTTGTCAATAAAGTGTAAAAAAAAAAAAAAGTATGCGGTTTTCATACCATCAGGTTTTAGTCCGCGTGCAAATTGGGTCTCAGGAGTAGTAATTGTTTATTGACAAATTACACGTCACAACAATAACAGCCTGTAGGTTGAATTGGAGTGTGGACATTACAACTCGTAAGATACAGCTTATAATGTAATACTTTTGTAGATTGTAAAGCCACCTTACATGTTGCCGTAATGTTTTGTCATGTTTTGTCGGCAAGGCAAGCCCTTTGTAATAGTCACTGGCTAAATGGGCTGCCCTGGCTGTGGGGGTTGAACAGCCAAACCTATTAATAAATTAAGATACAGCTCAAAATTAGTCCTTGACTTGAGCAACTTTGGTTTTACATTGAAATAAAATATAGCAGGACTCTTCACCTTCCCAGGTCATCAGAGAAGTTGATCCCCTCACTCATCTTCCCTCCCACCACACTGAACAGCAGGGCACCGGTCAGAGGCATAGCCTTGTACCCCAGGGTTCTACATCTCTGCAACACAACACAACAGTTACATCACAACACAACACCAGTCAGAGGCATGGCCTTGTACCCCAGGGTTCTACATCTCTGCAACACAACACAACACAACACAACACAACACAACACAACACAACAGTTACACCACTACACAACAAAACACAACACAACACAACAGTTACACCACTACACAACAAAACACAACACAACACAACACCACATGGCCTTGTACCCCAGGGTTCTACATCTCTGCAACACAACACAACACAACACAACACAACAGTTACACCACTACACAACAAAACACAACACAACACAACACCACATGGACTTGTACCCCAGGGTTCTACATCTCTGCAACACAACACAACACAACACAACACAACACAACACAACACAACAGTTACACCACTACACAACACAACACAACACAACACAACACAACACAACACATTAGTTACACCACTACACAACAAAACACAACACCACATGGACTTGTACCCCAGGGTTTTACATCTCTGCAACACAAGACACCAGTTACACCACAACACAACAGTTACACAACATTTACAAGTCAGAGGCATGGCCTTGTACCCCAGGCTCTTCTCTGTAAGACAGCACAGCAGTAAAACCACACCACAACAGTTACAACACATGTACAACAGTTACACCACACCACAATTTGCAACTTACCTGGATACACTTGCTGTAGTCAGACAACACCTGGTCTACCTGGCTGGCCTTCTTGGGCTCCCTAAATACCTGTGTGGACAACACAGTACAGGTGCATTAACACAACATTGTAGACTGGGAGCAAAACATGACTTCTACTGCAGATAGAGGTAACAGGTGTTGGAAGGAGAGAAATGGGCTTTGCCTTCCAATACCATGCCCTAGACACAGTAGATTAACAACCCACTGCCTCTACAAAAACAGGCTATGGGACCTTAACCTTTACTGTACCTCAACTTTAGAGCTTTAGAAATTCAGAAGAAGCCTATTGGAAAACTTGCTCACTAACTCACCTGCTTTCTGACAGCCAGTCGTTTCAGGACACCGGTGTCCTCAAAGAACTTGTAGACCTGCCTCTCGTACTCGTAAGACGGGAAGAAGACACAGACACCGGCGGGAACCAGGTTACACAGGTTCACCAGCACCCGACCTAGCTCAGCCATCTGATGTCAGAGGTAGATCAACAGTTCATTCATCTTTATATCTATGCCAGATAGCTGCTAAATACTGTACTTGTATGGACTGAAATATGTCACCAAGGAGTTATCACCAAAGTCAGTTATTATCATGTATTCAATATCATAATTCAGATGACACCTTATGTTCCAGTATTCTTTGCTGTTTGTTGACAACTGTCAAATATTTAATGTGGTTTTCAACTTACTTTTGCAGACAGGTGGTTTTATTTGACTAGTTTTTGACTTGTATTCAAGCCCATTATGTGATGTTTTTCTCTCTTCATTATTGTTACTGTCTTGTTTTTGCTGATGTTACTTTTATTTATATGTGTGAGAAGACGGCCTAGATATGTTATTACTGTTGGCCAATGCTAAAGAAAATCACTTGAATAAATTAGATAAATAAAAATGAATTTACAGTATTCGTTGTTGTACTTAATGAAGCTACCATGTATTCTTTGTTCCTGTACTCATAGGAGAAGTCTACCGCTCCGCCCACAGGTCCGCTGCCCAGCGCGACAGGCAGCAGGTTACAGGCAGGGATCACATGACCACAGGAGAACTCTGTGATTCGCTCAGGCTCCACTCCTGCTGCAAACAACAGGTGCTCCTTGAACTCTGACACCTGGGGAAAAAAATAAAATGTAAAAAAAATGATCTTGGTCCAGTTTAGCTCACTGACGAACTACTCTTCCACTGGACGTGACAGAGAAGAAACACACTACGTACAGTATTTAGAGATCATTGTACTGGGGAAATGCCATTGGCTTTTGACAAACACAATGAACAACCAAACGTCCCATCCTAAGGAGTGTGCCCCTTTCAGTAGTGTGCACGCCAGATGAGCAACAACAGCCGGGATTCAAACTCCCAACCTCTTGGTCCTAGGCAGTATCATGAAACACTGGACTATGCATGCTACAGATACTGACTGTTTTTGAGGAGAGTGTTTGTTATATTGCTCTATCCTCAATAATTGATTGTGAAAAAAAAAAGTTGACTATGTTTGGATAACTGATATCATGTGAAGAGATTTCTTCTATTAATATTTGGCATTTGAATCTGAGTCGAGATAGCCACTTTCAAAAACTAAATACATTGTATACGACAAAGTTGAACGTACCGGCTGCATGGTTCCCCCTGCCATGACCACAGCTCTGGCCTGCTGGACGATGTCTGAGAAGTGCAGGGCTGGGTTCAGCAGGAGGAATCTGAGACTGGACTGGCTCAGTCGGGCTGGAAAACACAGGAAAATTCTGTTAGGTATGGAACAGGGAAGAACATGGTAGTGGTAGAGAGGACGTGCAAAAATGAAAAAAAAAATCCTTTTACTGAGATTAATCTAAAAAAACAAAAACAACAGCAAACATACTTGCAGACTACATTGACCAGGCTTAGGGCCGATTTACACAGGGCAAAAAATATAATTTGGCCTGTGCTTAACGGCGTGCAGCACATGTCATGAGCTGGAGTTTGATTTAAGTACACAAAGTCCAAAAGAGTGTCTCAGGCTATAGTCAAAGTTGGTACCTTAACTTTATTTGAGTTTTCCAGTTTCAGTTTGAATTGTCTTCAGCCTGCCTGAATATTGTACTATAATCGGGATGCAGAATTTAATCAGAAATTAACAGTAATCCAAAATAAATCAAATAGTCGGATAAATTCCTTGGATAACTTTAAATTCAACCGTGGATAAGTTCTCTAGATTCTTCTACAGAGAATCTTGCTTGATTTATTCTACACTTCTTGCAGACTGCCTTGGGCATGAGGATAGGGAGTGCCAACTCTTTTTTCAATACCTTGCTTGTTGATGACAACCCTGCCATCTTTGTCAGCGTTAGTGAGTGCCAGAAGGAAAGCCTCGATGTGCATGAAGGAAGAAGAGCTCTGGTGATGAGGGGTCTCCTCCTTGGGATCAGCTGACGACAGTGACTGTGTGTCTGATCAAGGCAACAGATAAACAACAGACAAATCATTAACCTTTAGAACACTAAAGTAGACAGTGTTTAACAGTGTTAGGCAGCAGGGTGAAGGTTAAACAAATCGGAGATGCATTTTCACTGTGCTGCTTTTGTACTACAGAATTGTTCCAAATACAAAGTTAAAACAGTGAGAAACCTCCCATTCCATTCTAGATCTGCAGGCAAATGAAAGGCACCCAAAGCGATTTCAGGGCAGTACTAGTATTTTTAAAGGGAATTTGCTAGTAATTTTTTAATGTAGTAAGTTGAATCAACCCTATCCCATAGCTAGCTTAATTTATTGGTGGTACCAAAAAATCAAAACTCCTCACTGTACATGTAGCTTGTTTTGGGCTATTTCAAATGCGTCAAGTATGAAACGACAAAAATGTGCTAAGATCTGGCAGTAAATGTCAATATCAGACAGATTTCCTTATCTAGCATGTTGTCTTGCTACCCTGAAATTGTACTGGATGCCTTTAGGTCTGCACGAAAATACATAAACTTACAGTATCTGCACCACAATGGCAAAGTTATTGAAAATGATCTAAGACAAGATAGCCTCAGTGATTGATGAAGTGTTGGTACAGTATTGTGTGTATCACCATACAGCAATCTGTTGCATTAGTTTCAAACACTCAAAGGACACTAGCTGTTTCCAAAAAAAGTTCAGACATTACCATATATAAAAATGGGGAACAATATTTGTAGAGAGATCAAACTGACATGACACACCTGATTCTTGGGTCCCTCCGGTTTGCTGTGGACTTCCCTGTTTGATCTGTTGAAGGAACTTACTTACTGAAGACGCCCCTCCCCCACTGTCTGCCTTGGTGTCTGGGTTAAAAACACAGACAAACAGATGTAAAATAGATATCTGTGAATAACAACGTCATCGAAAACTACACATCCAAGGAAGCAATTATTGAGTTAAGAGGCCTGTATGATGTTTGAAAGGATTCCGAAGTTTCAAATGGAACTGTCATTATGCCTTTCAATGGTCAAAAAGGATTCTTGGACCTGGAACCAAAATCTTTTGAAAACCTGATTACTTCTTCATAAATGATAGGAACAAATACATTGTTTGTGTAACTTTGTGGATGTACATTGTGTAGATGTATTGCTTTTATTTTTGTCAATATAGTAACAAAGTTTCAAGCAAACAGTAAATTACTAAATAAACCCAATAACTTTCCATATACAATGTACTAAAAATCAAAGAAATCCGTCAAACCCACCATGAGTTATATCCTGCAAACATAAATACAACCAAAAACAGTACCTTCCCATGGAAGGATATGTCTTTCCCCAGTGGTAAAAATCCTACTTCTCAAGATGAATAACTACGAAACAGTGAAAATCTTACCTACTGCTGTTTGTAACGTGACGCTTGGCTGATATTTTTCCACAAAGCCATTCAACTGTAGATGTGAGACAGAAATGAGGATCATTGTCATACAATAAAGAGTTTTCAATAGAATTATCAGATACTAAGTAGATGCGATAATGTGGTATTTAATGTGAAGATCATCTGAGATAAAAAAAAAAGAAGACAAAATGTTATGCGTATGCCCTTACCTTTCTGGATATGTGGCTCTGCTCACAATATCTCTGAATCTGGTAATAAATGAAAGTTAAAAATTCCTACATTCAATTGGTCTCAATGAAGTTATCAGCTTTTCAAGCATGGATAAATGCCTACTGCAGACCACACTGACTATGATGTTAAAAGGACAAAAACTTCTCAATGAGGTTAAAAAACAATCTCAATTTTCAAAATTGCTGTACCTTAAAAAGATTAATGTTGTCCATCCCAGCAGTGAAAAGGAAGTCATTGATGGTCTGTAGATGCACCTCTGGGTAAATAAAAGAAGACCTTTATTATGAAACCTGTACATTTATGCTCTTACAAGCTAAGTGCAGGTCATGGTATACAATTAATCTTGTAAACAATTTAAGAGGATATCCTTGTTACAGTATATATTTTTTCTGTTTCTTCTTACTAAAACACAAATGACCAGCCCCTCAAACTTGCTACATAATGTAATTCAACACTGCAGCCATCATAGTCATCTGGTCCAGGTCATTTACCTCGTGTTTGGAGAAGGAGGAACTGAGCAAAATGTTAAAATTTGTTTTCCTTCTGTGAAGGTTAACATAATAAAAATATGTCTGGAGTCATAGACATGTGAAGGCTAGAGACACCACCTACATGTACAAATGCACATAGCCTTATATGTTATGTCAGGTTTTATTTTATTAACTGCAAACATCTTTACTTACTTGGAACCCCAGTGCTTGGTTCTTCAGGGGAGTGTCCTGCTTTTCCTGAAGGAATAGTTGATCAGAAATGACCATCTTGTTATCAAGTGTCTAACTACTTTATCACCATGATGCTCTACTATCTCCTTATACAACATGTACATCTGTAAATTCTGACACTGCGGTTCATCATTCTATAAGCAACAGTTGTTGTATTATTATGTACATCTGGATTGTTTCCAACTTTCTCTGGTCCTTGCTCCATCTACTTTCTGTGGCCCCAGCACTTCAAGGCTGAATGCCTCATTTCGTCAACCATTGGAACAGCAGGAATGTAAAAAAGCTACAAACTACATGCACTTTCTCACGTTTTCATCAGATACAATCATTGTCAACTCAGCTACTGGTAGTCTGGTAAATATGGCTCTCAACAGTATGTAACCAAGAAATGGTTGAAGGCTGTTATACATGGTAGTTCATGGCACTATGTAGCAGAAAGTTATTGTAATGTCATAGTCAAATGTGTACAAGTGACTGCCTGTACATTGTGCATAAGGGACACCTGGCCAATGTGAGCACTTTTCGATGGTCCCTTGGGTAATTTTTTCCACTGACACAAGCATTAAGAATCCTGTCTATAGTGACCACCTGTCCACATAGAACAGATTTTCTCAGTCCCTCTTGGGCAGTTTTGTACCTTTCTAAGTGTTACAGTATGACATTGATACATGTATATAAAATGTTAAAACTAAAACTCAAAAGTCCTCAGAACATAACTCCTGACTAAGTAACCCCACAACAGACAACTCTTGGCTTGGTTCATCCTGAGATTTTTTTAGGGGTACAGAGTACATCTCAAGTGTACCAAAATATTCCACACTAGTCTTCAGCTGTCTCACACACTTACAAGTACTAGCCAGTCTACCAGGCTTCAGAAGTGATTGGAAAGAGTAGAAATTGGCCAAATAGACAGATAACATGCCAAGGGAGTTAGTCTGCTAAAGGAGTACAGTTTGCCTCTCCTGAAGCCCGTTGGGGGTCGCCATGTTCTTTAAAGTCCACTAACTGCTATCTAATAGGTGCCAAGTGCTTTTATTGCTTTGTGAATACTAGCAACCTGTACTCCTTTGGCAACTCCTCTGGCAGTTATCTTTCTATTTGATCAATTTCTAATCTTTTCAGCCCCTTCTGAAGGCTAGAGGCTATAACTTACCTCCCAGACACATGATGAAGTGCTTGAGGACATGCAGGATCTGCTTGATGTACCTGAGATTTTTAGCTAACAGTCTGGACCTGGAGGAAAGGCAGTTATAAATGATTTAATTTACCTGCACCTAACCTATATACCGGTCCATGTACTGGGTTTATATAAGTGTATGCGGATTTTTATTTTCTTCATTGGCTGATAATGTGCCCAGATCTAGAGGGTCTAAACTGTCAGAGTTGGGATTTCTTTGCACTCGTGCATTGTGATTTGACTGACATTCTGAAAGTATATATTATTTCTAAATGCCAAAATAGGTTAATTTTATATTATTTAACACAGAGCCTAGGTTGTCCTTGCCCCCATAGTAAGGTTTCTATGAACAGTCACTGCAGACGCTGATGTTTTCTAAAAGGATTGAAAATATGATTCCCAGGATATCTCCTGAACTGGGGAGACGACTAATTACCAAGTCTCCTCCGAAAGTCAAAGGCCGACGATCTTTTGTCTTTGAGAACATATTAAAACATCATCTTAATCCAGAGCAGATTGGGTAATCCGCATTCTTGGCTTCCTCCTCAGCATCAACTTTGAAGGAGAAAGAGAAGATATTCCAGCCATTTTCCCCCGAGGACGTGTCCTTGCGAAGCGTGACGTCCTTTCAGAGGAAGCGATTGGCAAACCACCAGCCGGCTCCATTGGTGAACCGCGCCAAGAACCCTGCTGCTAATCACGTTAAGACGTACTTTGGCATTAAAACTTCCTCTTGAAGATAGCGATCTGACAACATGCTGCATTTCATCTTCAATGGCTGCCTGCCTTGTGGCCATCTCTTGGCGAATACCTTATCAGTTATGAGGGAATGCTTTGCCAAAAGCCCTGTTTAAAAGTTAACGATGCTGTTTAAAGATTTCTTTCTTGTCTGATGTAAGGATTAAGTTCATTTGGAGAATGGGGCTGGGTGGAAGCCATGGCTAGCATTTAATCCCTGCAGATGTTGAATACATTGTGCGATAAATTTTGTATAATGCTTTAGCCGGAAGCTTATTTCTTCATCTCCATTCAGCTGGTGTGTTATGCCAAATGGCGGTTATGTTAACCTCCTTGGTTATACTGGCTATAACTGTTACATGTACATATTGTGTATTTATTCATCTATCTATTTATTTACCAAGTCTTATTAAATTTTAACACAGCTGAGCAGCCCAATTTGATTCTGTTGAATAGTTTTTCAAGGGGACCCAGACTACAGAGATTACATGCATATGGCAGATTTTAATATAAGTTAGCACAAGCTCATTCATCATTCATCAGATTTTGTAATAAGCAGGAATATGTTGCAAACTCGACGATGAACGTTTGTGACATTTGAAAAATTTTGATATTCTTTGACTCAAGTGGAGACTTGATTTACACGCGGGTAAAAACCTAATGCGTATAGACGGGAGCGCACAAATCGTGCGCATGTGGAATTTTTTCCTGCGTAAATCGTCCTGCTTTGACGTACATGTGTGTCAAGAACGTATATTCAGATTGTACGCCAGCCCTCAAGGCACATGTAACGTAAGATATGAATGTACGCCCCTTTGCTATAGTGTCATTCTAAAATTATATTTCATTTTTTGCAAGATTTATGAAGGTTTCCCCCCAAAAAAACACCCCTATGCTGGTTGAAAGACAGCATAGGGGTCCAAATCACAGAATAGGGGGTCCAAATCACAGCATAGGGGGCCCCTACATGTATGCTCAAAAGACGTGTGGCGAGAACACTGGGTACATTCTTGATGTACATCAAAGCAGGCAGATTTACACGCAGGAGTAATTCGACCTACCTAGTTTTCGTACGTTTGCGTGCATACGCAGTTTTTGTACCGTCAGGTTTTTGCTGGCGTGTAAATCGGGTCTAACAGACTGAAACCACTTCTAGCAATAGACTGTCTATCATTTACTGGGAGAGAAAAAGGTTAATTGCAATGACTCCCTCTATGCCCCTATCAAGGCCATGTCAAACAGGCAGGACCCTAATGTGAGAAAACCTCAGACAGATAATGTGACGGTTAGACAACAGCTTGTTAGAAGAATCACGAATCACCACCTTCCATCACAAACGCATTACCACACTTGTTTAGAAGCCTTTCAATTGTGCCCTTTATACTGGGCAGCAGAACGTACTGCGCCTGTGCAAAAATCGGATTTTTTTTGGTTGGATGTTTGCATAAGAATTTTGCCCGTTGCAGACAATATCTTTTCTGATACAACATTTGAAAACTATAAATATATTATATATGTAGGATGTCATCCTTCATTCGCAAATACAACCTAAACAAGATGATGTTGAAGTGCTATGCTAAACCCTACATCATGAGTTCCTCGCAAGCACAGTATGTTCTGGAAACGTGCTTCATTCCACTAGACAAAAAAACAACAACAAAAAAAAAACAGAATGTGGCAGGTTTCATGGTCATCAGGTTTTGTTGTGATTTCTTTAAGAAATGGAAAGCTACAAGGGTGGCTAACTGTTCTTTGCAATATGGACATATTCGGACTAACCCGAAATCGATTTCTTTAAATTTAGACACTGCAGCCAGTTTCCTTACCCAGGCAATACCCGAGTATTCAAGACTGCAGATGGTCGAAAACTGGGTGAAAGTTCACTTTTCTCACACCTGCATGTTTTCAGTTCCAATTCGACACTTCACCAATCCACGTAAGATCCAACCGACACAGAAACATCTTAGCAACCGGCTTGATCTAAATGTTCTGATTGACAGAATTGTTGGGAAATTTGCGAACGAATTGTTCCGAATTGCTTCGAATCTGGTCCAAATTGGTTCGGAATTCGTGGCATTCCCGGAGAACAGTTAGGCAGCCCTAAGCCCTTACAACGTCAGCTTACTTGTATCTCTGTGCGTACTGGGTGAGTTGGGAGTAAGCTCGGGCAATCTGAAACAGATGGAAAGATTCAATGTGAGGAACTTCTGTTCGACATGATGCACTTATCAATGTCAAGCACACGCACACGCGCGCGCACACACACACACACACATACACACACACACACACACACACACACACACACACACCTCTTGATAAGACACCACAATAAAACTGTCCGGGTAGGCTGCTTCAAGATTGCAACGTATTGTCTAAGGCTGTGTTCACAAATTTAAGGATGATATCCCGTCTGTAGTTTTCAAATGTTGTGTCAGAAATGATATCTTATGCAACAGACAAAATTCTGATGCAACATTGACCAAACATCCGACAGACACCATGGTGTCTAGCCTGGTTACCAAAGCTATTTCATCTGCTGAATCTCTTTTGTCCCCTCCGCAAGTACAGAAACTCAGCAGCTAAAATAGGTTTGGCAACCAGGCTAGGAGATGTCTCTCTTAGCTGCCAGTGTTCAGCAGAACTGACAGTGATAAACGGTCCAGTAGAAGTTAGAATGCCAACATGTTTCATTTAGAGAGAGGTTATCTAAAAGGACACATGTGCTTAAATAGGATCATGGGGGCTAAGACCATCCGGTTAATTCAGGTGAGATGATTTGAGCAGTGAATCAATTTGTACAATAAGAACCACATGTAGCCAGGCTGCATTCCTGGGAGGATGATTCCTACATGCCACTTGCTTAAGGCACAGCTTAGAATAGGTATTGATGTACATGTATCACCTTAGAAACAAGAGAAACAGGATGTTTTTGTCCGTTTACATAACATGTAACAGCTTTGATCGCCAAAAACAACTGCAAGCTTAAGGTTATTTTCAACTAAAGACCTTTTACCTTAGTAAGGATATGGCGGAAAGAGTCTATTATTGCTGTACAAGTTCAGGTTTATAAAGGTTTAGCAAACATGTATCGAAAAACCTCTGCACGAAATGAGAACATTCATGACGTTGCTTCTCAAACATAGTTTTCTTACAGGAAAATCATTTTCAATAATGGAATGATTAGAATATGATGCTGGAGGTTAAACACATGAAAGGTAAGAAAGAAATAATTCTGGATGCTGGAAGTAAGACACATGAACTTCGTTCAGTAATCTCAATCTGGTCAGACAGTCTGACTCAGATGTCAAATTTTTAATCCATTGGTCTACCACATTGGCAGAATGTACTGCGTCTGCATGAAACCCAAAATTATCATGGTTTCTGAAATTATCATTGCATCCTCACATACACGAATACAACATTAAACAAGATGTTCTGCCTAAGTGCTATGCACAATACATCATGGGTTTCGCGAAGGCGCAGTACATTATTGTGCCTGTGTACTGTCCAGGCCTTACCTGTCCTCCTGTGATCTCCACACTGTGGATGCCAGTGATGGTGTCCACCAGGTTATGGGCCTCGTCAATGATAACCACATTCCCTGCCAGTTTGATACCCGTGACTTCCCTGGTGTGTTTATGTAGCAGGGTGTTGTATGGGAGGGCAACTAGCTAGAGATGGAGGGAGCAGAGAGATACGATTTACACGCGGGCAAAAACCTTATGGCATGGAAACAGCATATGCAAGTGAGCGTACAAAAACTACATTCAGAATGTACTCTACGATATACCTCTGGGACTATCTCAATGTATGATCTTGACGTACATGTATGTCATGTTCGTATGCGTATGCAGTTACATTTTGCCTGCTTGTAAATTGGGTCAGACATTTTTACCCTGGTTGACAGATTTTATTTTTGATTTTTATATATTCATTCATCTATTTCAGAGGAACACACACAAAGAAATACAAATCCTGATAGAAAAGTCTGGTTGAAAAGCCAGGTACTTGTAGGCATGATTCTTTCCAGTTCTCTTCTGGGCTGGTGTTAGTAGCTGGTAATACTGTAATTTGGTATGTCCAAGGCAATGGTTTGATAGTCATTTTGTGCATCATGCACAGTCTGGACATTTTTCTTCCGTGGTGGAATGACAGATTTGTTTTCATCAGGTCATGTCAATCCAGATGGGGGAGGAGCTTGTTTACAGAATTGCCCAGCTTGCACTTGGTTCACTCCGGATCAAACCAGCATGAAATGACAGTCTTAAGGTCCCTGAACATCAACCTCACCCACATGTTCCTGATAAATTAAGAGCCCTGAGTTACAGGCCTGACAATAAAAATGACCCGTTGAGACATAGGGCTCCAAATTCATTTTTGAAGGTGTACAATGTAGAATGTGAGACAACCTAATTGTAAACCTTACTGCCTCTCTCGAATCTGAAACTATATATCTGATCTTCAAAATCATATACAAGAAATACACAAATAGCTTTGTTATTTTTTCGGACAGTTAAGGTTAAGGAAACAAGAAAATACTGTATACTAGGTTAATCTTTATATACATAACAAATATATTGGTGCACAGTGGGCTTCCAGTCAAACCTTAGGTGCAAAAAATTGCATCTGCAGACAGTATTTCCAGCCCTGAGAAAGAAACACTGTTCTGATATTGATGACAAGCAGCCCCCTCTGGAGATTTCTGAACACCTGGTAAATTTTGCCAGTGGATGGGACATACTTGGAATCATTGCCTGCTGTTGGGGCAAAATTTTGATATGTGATCGTCGTAAGTCAATCAGGCCAGAATTCAGGCCAAGGTAGGAGGGTAATTTGGACCAACTGCTTTGCAAGACCAGTAACCCACCACATAGTATACTGGTAACACACTATGTCTATTATTTTTGTATTTGGTAAACACTAGCTGTGTCGAAACTTTACTAAAAAAAATGTTTTGTGGGCTGACACCACTACTAACCATCTACTGTATGTAGTGGCCATGCGTGGCCCAAGGGCAATAGAAACGGAGATACTAAAGTAGGCAATGCCTCTATTTCTATACATCAAAAGGTGTGGGAAGGATTTTAAGTCCAACAGATTTCTTTTGTTTGATTGACTTTTTAAAAAATTGATAAAGAGAGGTCATTACATATATGTAAGCAGAAGCTTTTATATTTTATTGTTATGTATTTATTATTTAATTAGGAACAAATAAACATAATAAATAATAAACAAAAAGTCCCCGACCTGTGCAGCTGGTATGGAGTATCGTGTCCCGTAGTAAGGACAGGCTTCCATCTCACGTCCCTTGATGACAAGTTGTTCGATGTCCCGTACTTCAGCGAGGACCTCGTCGCTGTAGGTGGGGATGTGCTGATGGAAGGGACAGCCTGCTGACAAACTTCTCCTCTTCTTCCGCTTCGTGTCATCATCTTCACCCTTTCCCCTGGAATCTGGTCCAGTCATGTGTTTTTGTTTCAGATACACAGCAAAGGAAAGCAGAAAGGTGAGTGATTTTAAACCAGTTTAGCTTAGTGAAGTCTTACCCTTACACTGACAGATAAGACAGATGCTATGGGTATGTACAATAATACAAAAATTCCCTTAGCTATTTTCAAGAAGCACAATGAGCAGTGGACCACAGCTTAACGCCTGGTCCTAAGGACTGCATTACACTTTCCAGTTGTGTGCATTACACTTCCCAGGTGAGCGACAACAGCCGGGATTCAAACTCCCAACCTCTTGGTCCAGGTCCACTGACAACTGGACTGCACAAGCTACTAGTACATGTATTTGGAAGTCTGACATATCCAGCAGCGAAGAATTTCTTAACCTTCAGTATGCCAAGATAGCCATTTGGCACATAATTTTGTATTGGTAATGGGGTTAGACAGCAGGAAGAAGGTATGTGCAATTATGATTGCAATTTTTGACTAATCATAATTAAGATAATCTTTATCATCATCCCTTAAGACGTACCTTCCTTTTTCTTGTTGTTCTGCATCTCCAGACACCTGTCGTTGACGAGGTGAGCTGACCCCAGCTTCCTGACAGAGTCATTGATGCACAGATTCTGTGGAAAAAAGGGGGTATTTCATAGGCATTACTTACCCTAGCAGCTTTATGTAAAACTGCAGAATACATTGTTGAGCAATCTTTCTTACTGAGGAAAATTGTTTGCAATGGCAGACGATACATTTACAAAACAATAACTTCTCTTTCTTACGATCATAAATTGAACTTTCTTGATAGAGATGGGTATATCCATCTGCAGCCATCAGAAGATAACTCAATCTTCCAACTTAACACAGCATAGTACAGAGAAACAATTTGCTAGCCATCAATAAATTGATTGTAGTAGAAGTTTCTCCAAAACTACAAGCGATGAAAATTAATGTTAAATGTCAGACCTGTCTGGATCCCAGAGACACCACCCTCACATCCTTCCCAAATGGACTCTTCTGAACTTCTCTCACAAACTGGGCCAGCTGGGAGTGGGTCCGGCTGCAGTAGTAGATCTAATGCACAAAAGCGCCACCTAGTGAGGGTCCGGTAAACTACACTACAGAGACAGACTGTCATGTTGTTGTATGTATTAGAGATTTATTAGATATGACAGACATGTTTGTATAAAGAACCTTACCTTTGTAATGTGCACCTCTTCTTGGTCATCCTCTGGCCTGCAATGTTTATAAAAGATGTCAGTGTAAGTCATACTTTTTTTAAGAATGAAACATAATTAGTTCTTGCTGACATTCTAGTTATTCTATTTTATATTGTGCACCCAAAAAAATTTTTGGGCACCAAATTTTGTAAGTTGCCAAAAATGAATTTCAAGCCCTGGACACTTCAGTGGCACACAACCTTTTTTGTTTCGGCCCATCCTCTTCATCACTTTTGTAATCATCTACTAGAAGTTCTGCATCTTCCTCTTTCTCAGCAGGCCCATCAGTTGTTGAAGTTTCATCCTTCCCCATGGCAAAACCTTCCTCTTCTTCTTCTGACTTCTCACCATCTTTTCTCTGTGAAGAAAGTTGGTCAGCTTTGAAAATGATGCAGGCTGACATATTGCACCAGCATTACCATTCAGCATTTCCAAATAGCGTTTCTTAACTTTTGGTACACTAGTGGAATAGGGATTTAGTTACCAATTCCAGATTACTATTTCTATGCCCAAAAAGTATCAGTGGTGGGACAAACATGTCAGATTATGAAAAACTACCATATTCGAGGGTTAGTTTTTGGAAAACTTTATTTTTCTATTTTTGCTTCCTGTCTCTCTGCAGTACCCCAGGGTATTGCAACCTTTAGCAGTGAGAAGCTTTAACTACCTTTCGCTTGTTGGTGAACAATTTTGCTCTGTTGTTTTTCCTGATTTCTTGAAGTCTTGCCTCTCGCTTCACCTTGGCTTCTTGTTCTTCCTGTTCATACGACAATAAGACATTTAATATGAAGTTGAGGAAAATACACAATTGTACTTGGTAATGATACTTTGGAAGCTGACCACATATGTACAGTGTACATATCAGTAACCAGTGGACAGCCAATAAATTTGCCAGATTAGAAATTGAGAAGTTTGTCTGGACAGAAGAACTTACCCTTGACTTTAAAGTTCTCTCTTCTGCCTCCCTTTTCTTTGCGAACTGTTGGACCCAGTCTGGTGCTGCTGGGATGGTGGGCTCTGCTGATGAGTTCTTTCTGATTTTGAGGAAAAAAAGTGATGCTACAAAATGAGATGGATGCCTGCTGGGTTCATTCAATCAACCACTGTCCACCGAGGAATCAACCAGGTCCTCAGATTTTGTTTTCATTAGGTTTTTCAGTTAACCATATTTAAAGGAGAACCAACAAATCAAATTGGTGTGGCCTTAACCTAAACAAGTGGTGGTACTGACTCTTCTGTGGCTGAAGACGGCCGAGCTCCTTCTAAGATTTCTTCTACTTCTCTCTTCTGTCTGTCCTCGTGGTCCTGTAGCCACTTAAGAGCTCCACAGATCAAACTCAGAGACTTGCCCTGCAGAAGCAGAATACAAACAAATCTATAGTATAATAATAATGAAAATGAAACTGTTCTCCGACTCAAAAAGAAATTGACTTGGCTGAATTTTTGACCAAATCTAGATCTCTTGATCTTCATCAGCTATCTGACCAAGTTCTGGGATTTTTCCGTAGGTGTGACGTCAGCATTGGGTCAAAGTTTGCTGGAAGTTTAACTTCAGACCAACTTTGACCCAGTGCTAACTGACATGTACGTAAAAATTACAGCACTTGATCCAAATGAAGTTGAGTTGAGGAACACTTTAATTTTCATCATGTAATTTACTGACTCTGATGAACTTTAATATTAATACAAATGAAGTTTGCTATCTTGAACAAAGGCCAAGTACTGTATTTAATGTAAGAAACAGGAGGAGCCAGTAAAAACCCTTCGGCCGAGCGGTTAGAGTCTCTGACTGGGGCCCGGGAGGTTGTAGGTTCGAACCCCGGCCCGGGACCAGTGGGTTTTTACTGGCTCCTCCTGTTTCTTACATTAAGATGACATACTGTGCCTGTTGGACTCTCAAAGATCCCGACTTTCCCTTCCTCAAGAGTTTGGTACAGTTTTGTCATGAAGCCTTTCTGGATGTCGTATGGTTCAAAAGGGAAGGGAAACTCCTGTGGAGGTTCCATGGCTGCAGACTGGAAAGCTGTAATGATGAAGGTATAAAAGAAGTTAAAATTCTTCCCGCATCTTTCTGTGTATTGGGGCAGTGCCCATCTGCGTTTCCAGAGCCCTTAGGCAACACATATACCACTACAGTAGGTGACTTTTTTTTTATGAATTATAGATGCTGAGTGCTAAATGAGAATCATAAATTATGCAGTACTCATATGTGCCATTTCTTAAGTCTAAACATTTATGCAAGGGTTTGTTGTTTAAAATTACTTGATCAATTCAAAATATTAAAAATTATATTATTAATCAGGGAAGTGCAAAATTCGATGGAAACCGTTCGTGTTCGTACGTTTCAAAGCTATCATCAAAATTCATAACGACAACATAATATGCATAATTTCATAATCGAAATAGTTCCTAAATCAATAAAGATCTTGATCATAGAGTAACTTTAAAAAATTCATATCGTGCTAATCTTATGTCATATCATGGAGTTAAAAGATCTGACTTTTTAACTCCATGCCCATGGTCATATCATATCAAGGAGGTTCAAAAATGATTTTAAAGAGACTCCCATCAAAATTATCAAAACCAACAATCTGGTACGATCTGAAAACGTAGAAGACAAATTCATACTCACGACTACACCAGAGATCAGTTATAAAGCAAATGAGTTGATTATTCCACTAAAATCAAGCTCTTTACTCGTCGTTGGGCAAGAAAGGCAAAAACGTGAACGTAACGTCGCCATTTTGAAAACAACCGCGCCAAATCTGAAGGAAGGTCATAGGTCAAGTCCATAGTTTTTGTGATTCTGAATAATTTATATCTCTGATCATCTTATGGTAAAAATGTATTATGATTATGATAATGAAGAGTAATTGGATTGAGTATTTCTGAGAAAACGGATTTTCTGTGAATTTTTAGGACTGGTGGCATTTTTTACGCCTGCGCAGTGGCGTGGTCGGCGCCATCTTGCGAGTTTCAGACACCGCGTGGTTCATTCTCTGTCCAAGTCCGGGCGTTCTCCCTGCCTTCCTCGGCTCAGCACCACGCCAGCAGCCATGGCGTCCACACCACTGCCTCCCAAGGAAAACGCTCTGTTCAAGAGAATATTGGTGAGTGCGCACAGGGATGACAACCGCCGTTTGAAATATGCATGTTGTCCGTGCTGACTTAGCACGCACCGGTAAGGGTGGGGGGTGGGCGGTATGACACCAAGAGATACGTTTCGACTTCTCACTTTGTAATAAAATTCTCCATATATTTAGACTATCGCTTCCCTTACAGACAGCTTCCGTTAAGTACTGTAAACGTCTCTTAAGGTTATAATGTCGCTACGACACGGGGAATATTAAAAACAAGAGTCAAAGTAGCAGAGAAGAAAACACAGAAACGTTCCAGTGTGTCAGCCTCTTTCCTTATATGCTTCCGCATGACATGGTGAAATGCGTTTGTGATGAATGACTGCTAATTTGCAAAATACCGCAACTAGAGCACGTCAGGGCAGCTAGACCGACCAAAACAAACCGTAGAAAACTATTAAAAGCTAAACCACAACCCCTAATAATCAGCTGTAAGTGTAAGCTGTATATTATACATAAATCATTGGCACATATTTTTAAACCCCAAATGGTGGTGAGAAAAATTATGCATGCACCTGTTCAAATACATCACAATACAGAAGTATGTATACTTCTCAAATATTCTCTGTTGTGACATTGGTCAAAGGGTTCAGTAGGCTACATCATCAAGTATAACTAAGTTAGTGCAACACTCAATACGTACTAAAACCTGGCACAGTGACAGCTAAGATGAAATTGCATGTAGTGTATACCTAAAATCATCCTTGGCTTGAAAGTTAACGGTAGCAAGTGTTATTAGAAACATACCGGGGGATTCTTTCTTGTTTTTGCAATAGAAATATAATTAAATAAATCTGTGTAACTATGTTGTATTTGTCTACAAGTACATACAAGTATGTAATTCCCAAAGTGATTAGACAAATAATGGTTGTGGGTGGGTGGGGGCTGGTCTTTCAACATGCTATTTTAAGGGAAATTTGAATAAGTTGCCATCAAAATTTAATGGATTTTAAATGGAATCTTGATGCCAAGACATACAGTTGTATTCTTGATGTAACAAAGATGCTCTTACACCCAAGCTTTGTACAAAGACTTGACATGCTATTATTATTATTAAGTTTAGCTTTAAGAGGTCATTAGGCTTTTTCATATAAATTATATGTATCATGTCAGGGCTCAAAATATTTTTTTGATGTTGTTCCAAATAGACCCTAATTCAACTTCTTGTTGGTCCTTTTTGTTACTTCAGAAATGCTATGAGCAGAAGCAGTACAAGAATGGACTTAAGTTCTGTAAGCAGATCCTGGGGAATCCCAAGTTTTCTGAGCATGGAGGTAAGTTTGAATTTTTTTTTTTTACATGAAAATCATCATTTATGAGTTTTAACAAACACCAATGACACTTGATAAGTGTCTCCATGGAGGGGTGCTGTATATTTTCAAGAATTATGGTTTTATGTGCTATCTGTGTTATCTTTTGATAAAAAAATGAAAGAATTATCATACCCTTCCCCACCATAAGTGGTCTTGCCAGTCAAATTTTTCTTGTACAAACAAAACTAATAATGATACTGATGATTATTATCATCTATTGGCACCCCTGGGGTTTGGGGTAAGTACAGTCAAACCTGTACTAGCGGTCACCTTGGCATTGCGGTCACCCGGCCATAGCGGTCGGTTTTTGCCGGTCCCTTGAATTTTTCCCATTGACGTAAGCATTAAGAATCGCGTATATAGCGGTCACTGTTCAACGCGGTCAGCGGTCACCCCATTCCGGTCCCGCCGGCTGTCAACATCGCCGATAGCGGTCACGGCTGGCCGGCTGTTACCCGCTAAGCACCACGTACGTAACACCACCCGTGCACCCGACCTCGGGCTACGGCCGTTAGGACGTTCAATCAAGCCTTGTGATAATTTTGTGGCCGCTACATTATTAAAATGTGAACTGAAATTAGACTCCAGATGTGTATGAAATAAAGGAAAACTTGATTTTGACACGAAATTTTTGCGGCCGCTCGTGTTGACGTCTTTGATATCTGAAACACCATGTCGTGCGTGCCGCGGTGCTTTCAGTGGACTCGGCGAAGATTGCGGCAATCATCCTTACAAAAAACTTACGAATATCCATATTTGATTTTTCGATTCCTTGAAAAGCATAAATATGTGGCCAACTTCCCTTTTTCACGGGCATAATTCAAGAAATTTGGGCTGAGAAAATGCGTTTCGTGATTTTTCAAAATGGCGCAGGCAGCTCGCAACAATCAGGTCAATTGGGGTCATCGGAAGACTCCATTGGTTTGGAGGTAGATTTACCGACTTTTATTAAATTTTATAGCATCGAATAGCGTGATTACATTACAAAAATATTTGGAATACATTATTAAAACTAATTTCCATCGTAAACTTAAGTCTGTAGTGAATATTCTACAAAATATGTAAGCCTGAAAGGAGCACTATTTTTGTTGACCACCACATTGGCATAATGGCAGAGGCAGACAACCCACGCCGGAATAAACCCAAGCCGTAAACAAAGCAAAGTTTTCGCTACGTTTTCATGTTCAAAAATGACCAAAAAACGGAACATAAACGGCAACAGATGAACAATTATTTTACTGTTAACTAAATGGACAGCATCTTGGTACAAAAAATATTGTTTACATGGTTGGAATTCGTTGTGGCGATGTCGGTCATGCGAAGCACTCACCAAAGAACAAAAACGTGGCGATGTCATTCTCTTCCACTTTTCGACTTACGGTACTAGTAACGTGGCGATTGCGGAGAAACGATGGCAAAAGCGGAAAGACAGACGTCGAACTTATTCCACAAGGTGGATGTGATTCAAGATTTTTCAACTGACAGCGAGTGAGAAGGAATTATCGGTCGAAGGAGCTTAGATTAAAGGAGTTTGCAGTCGGAAGAAACATGGCTTGGAGTCGACAGAAACTTTGTTGCTTGATTCGCTTTCAAGTTTTCTGTAGGTAAACATCGATGTTACACGTATACAAGAACAGTAAATGGCAACCAGTGATTTTGTATATTTTAGTGGGAAGGTTTCATAGTCCCAGTAGATCAACTGAGTATCATGTCGAGTGCATGCAGTTTTGATATATAATTTTTTTCAAGCCCACAACTAAAGCAAAAGAACAACAATTGAATTATAACATGTAATGTTACATTTGAAAAGAGACTTACCTGTGCAATGAATGTTTTCATATGTTTGAGAATAAAGACATAAATACATCTTTGTTCAATGGTACTGAAAGCATGTGTCACTTGGGGGGGGGTGCGGGGGCAACTAACCGCCATTTCTCTATAGTGGTCACCTGGCCATAGTGGTCAATTTTGGCCAGTCCCTTGAGTGACCACTATAGACAGGTTTGACTGTACCTTCACCTCCGAACTCCACTTCTGTCGGTCAGCCATAGCTGCTTTCAGAAATTCAGAGGCTTTAATTACATTGTACGGTTTTTAAGATGCACTGTTATATGGTAGAATATTTGACGTCTTTCATGGTTGGTAAGAAGTGCAGGATAAACTGGAAAGTTTAACATCTACACCAGGCCTCCAGGAAAAGTCAATTTTCTGGAGATCTTTCCTCTTAGCTGCCACAGGATGAGTGAAGAGATCAAACTGCTGGTCATGAACACACAAGACGACACTTGTTCCACCCAAAGTTGAAACTGTTCAAAAGAAGCATTCTCATTTCTTTCGGGCAGGTCGCCAGAATAAAGTCAGCTGTTTCTTGCCAAGAAACACAATTAGTAAAAGAAAACCAACCTGATGGCCCTCCCATACTACTGACAAAGCCAAAAGCCAGGCTATTGGGAAGATATTATTCTTGTACCAGAGCTGATCAATGACAGTGGTTTGATGTATAGATCCAAAATGTAAAGCGAAGTCCAGAGAATAAATTATCTAACAGCTACTTCACAACTTTTTATCCAGAAATATAGTCTGCAACATTTTGCCCAACATATTGAAGGAAAATCAGAGGTCTAAGATGTTTTCCAGCTTCTCTGAAGATTGTAGGGATGTCACCATAGATTTGGAGGAGTGCCTTGTGTGCCTATCAGCCTATTATACTTATAGATCTGTATCTGCTGAAGGTCAATTGTATACTGACAGCCGTTTTGATATTCCAGACGCATCCTTTATAGATTGTATTTCTAACATGTATCGAAGAAGGATCCTTGCTGGTTGTCTGGTTTATACTAAAGTTTTCCCCAGAGACCTTCTCATGTTGATATATTTTTTATACAATTTAGCTGAACTGTAGAACTTCAATATATTCTGGGTCACAATATGACCCTTATGAGCAATTCACAATATATATTTATCATTCTGCATACAATTTTGTTACTCTAGTCAATATCTTGTTCAAGATTCTTTGTGCATCTAATTGGAGCCTTTCATGAAAAATTATAAAGTGAAATATCGATTTATCACAGAAACCTGATATATAGCATAGAGATTCATGTATCATTCAGTATGTAGCAGGGATAATAACTTAAATGATATTCGTCATTACATATTTTACATTCAATTGAAATGAAAGGATAATTTTCATTAAGAATTCTCCAAAGCTACAAGCTATATTTAGAATGATATACTTCTACCAGAAACCTCCTTGATTTTGTAGAAGAAAAAAATGGTCCATGAGTAAATTGTACAGTCTCCAAGGATATTGATGATAAGGCTGACCGATTGGCCTACTTCATACTTGTGTAGTATCTGCATGTTGTATTAGGTTAGTTCTATACATAACAAACACTGGGCTGTAGTCTCAGTCATTCTCCACATACCCAGGCTGCCACAGCTCCTCTCTGTGTGGTGACAGGTCCCAGCACGTATCCGTGTGACCTCCTCAGGCTGAATCACTGTCTAATGTAGTTTTATCATTTTGTTAACTGCTGAAGCTCATCTTCTTTTCTTATGGAAGATGGGGGGGGGGGGATAGATTCAACTGAAAAAAGATCAGTGAGAAAAAAAATAGAACAACTTAAGATTGCTCCCATTTTTAGATGCAAGTTCCCTTTTTGCCCTGCCTTTTTGCTTATTTTTGAGTAAAAAGGGAAGTGGCTTTGTCAATGACATGAAATTTGCTTAGGCCTAGGGGAAAATGTTGTGTTTCCTGCCTGTTTCAGTCCTTAAAAAAGTAGGGTCGGTAGGTAGAGATTATCTTTTTTTCTCCTTTTTTCATTAGACTTTGGCAATCTCCAGGGATCCAACTTACACAATACAGTTTAACAAAGTGAAACTTGCATGAGAACACTTATATTTTCAATGTCAATGTTGGAAAACCGATTATACAACGTTTCATCATTCAGGTGTCAGATCATGGAGCTAGAAATGGTCAAGCACTTTAAACCCACCAAAAAAAGACTAGGGTCGCCAGCTTTTTCTAGGGTTGGTCGGGAAACAGGAAACACAACATTTTTTTCCTTGGCCTAAGCTGTGTAGCAATGCAAAAACTTCTTTTCCGTTCTTGGTTTAACAATGTCTGTGTTATTTTTGCAGAAACCCTGGCTATGAAGGGCCTGACCCTGAACTGTTTGGGGAGGAAGGAGGAGGCGTATGAATACGTCAGAAGGGGGCTGCGCAATGACCTGAAGAGCCATGTCTGTATCCTTCCACCGTGCATTTGTTCAATACTTCTCCAGTTGTTAAAAAAAACCATTTTTGTCATACTGTATCAGGTATGAAACTGACATTCCTGATAGACGCAATTGAGTCATAATTTAATCTTGAAAGTCTAGGTTGGTAATGGATGCTACTTGAAAAATCTGACTGTTTTCAAAATCTATCCAGTTATCTGAGCAACTGTTTTCTTGTGCATCTCATTACATGGATTACATCTATCAATGTTAAACTCCACAATTTGTAAAGGAATGACAGGGCTCAAAATTCATTTTTGGGAATAGGTGCACTGGTGCACCTAACCTAAAAAATTAGGTGAACAAAATATTTTTTGGGTGCACCATATAAAACAAAACATAATTATCTAGATCTTACTACTTCTCTTCTGAGCTTGAATCTGAAATGGGAACTTCAACTGCACACTTTGTCACGGTACGAGCAATCCACCACTTCTGTGACATTTACATAGATAGCTTTGTTCCTTGTATATTATCTGGTGAGTGCATGGTGTAGTTTCCCTTGACACAATTTCTCCAGGTTGGCACGTGTTTGGACTTCTCCAGCGGTCAGACAAGAAGTATGACGAAGCCATCAAATGTTACAGGAATGCACTTAAGTGGGACAAGGTAATGCTTTGCCTTGCAATGTTTTCCCTTTATATATCCTAGCTTGATGAACTTGATAGTGATGAGTGGCAGCTAATTTTGTATTCTGGATCTGACGCATTCGGGACCCAAAATAAATCTTGTAAAAGGAGAATAGGGTCATTACGATTTTGTAGAAATGGCTATAAAGACTGTAAATGTTGATGGTTGTTTACTGTTGAGGTTTTTGCGGTAAACTAGCCACTGCAAATGCATGACACTACAATTATGTGTTTCCAATGTATTACTACTGTACTCTACAGAATTAATTTAATTAAATTTTTTTTTAATTAACTTAATTGTGAAAACGTCCTTTCCCCCTCTACTTCAAAATGAGGCACTCAGGAAAATAAATGAATTTACAGTGCACACAACAAGAACACAAAGAATTGATTCAAGGAGAATTGCAGTAAAAAGGAAATCAAAGAAAAAAGCCATAGCACATCATCTGTCTGCAATTTTTATCTTTCCATCATGTTGAATTTATGACTTGTACCTTACTGTAGGACAACCTGCAGATCCTGAGAGACCTGTCCCTATTGCAGATACAAATGAGAGACCTGGAGGGGTACAGGGTAAGTTCTTTGTTTGCAGGGCCAGAAATGCTTTTTTCTTCATACCTAAATAGATAAGTTCCTTTATACTTCATTCAATCAATACACAAACTTAATAAAAGCCCACATGTACTAGGTCCTATATGAACCCAGTACATGTACATACATGTAAGCTAGAGCAGGTTATAGGTGCAAGTAGGAATCAGAAATACCTGCACAGTCCCAATATTTGCTGAGAAAAAAAGGAAGGAAGAAAAAGACAGATTAGGAAGGGAGAAAAGCAAGAAAAAAGAAAGACACTGTCACTGAGTCCAAGGCAAAGGTTGCAAGGACAAGGGGGTAGACAGAAGTAGATTTTATTTTGCCAGAAACATACACCAATTTCAAGATCTGAAATCTTTACCAACAGTCTGAAGGATTGGGATCAATACATGTATATTCTGTCTGATGCAATAGACTCCATGCATTACCCTGTGTGAATAATAATCAGGACATGAGTACTGTACTCTGATCATTTTCATGGGAGGAATGTGACTGAAATGAAAAGATAACCAATGCAAACTGAATTTGAGCAAGATTAGCATGTCGGCAGAACGTATTGCGAATGCACGAAACCCAGATTTTTCATGGTTTTTGTTGGATGTCTGGTAAGTGTTGCATCAGAATTTTGCCCATTGCAGACAACATTTCAAGACTATAGATGGGATGTCATCCTTAAATACATAAATTTGACCTTAAACAGAGACGTTCTACCGAAGTGCTATACATTACGGGTTTCGGCCTGATGTGCTGGCAAGATTCATATGAAACAAGCATTGCATTTTTGAAATGTTAGAAAGGTTCTCCTCAATTCCGCTTTCAAGCATAAATTATTTTTGTTCCAAATGTGATTCGTACTGTTATTTTTTAGGATACAAGGTTACAACTTCTCCAGTTGAGACCAGCCCAGCGAGCGTCGTGGATTGGATACGCCATCGCGTACCACTTACTCAAGGACTACGACATGGCACTCAAGATCCTGGAGGAGTTCAGAAAAACTCAAGCCGTAAGTTTGCTCATTTTTGTTGGGGTTGGCAACTACAAAATGTATTTATGTATGTAGTAGTGTATTATGATGTTGGACTGCCATTGCCATGTTGTATACCATAATTATGTGTAAATTAGGTGGCAAGATGGTCTTGTGGTTAGGGGTGTTGACTCAAAATTGGAAGTTTCTGGGTTTGAGTCAGGCCTCAGTGTTGTATACTTGGGAAAGGCACTTTACACCTATTCCCTCACTCTACTCTGGTTAAAAATAAGTACTTAGCATTGGCTTGTGATGTCCTCTCAGATAGGATGTAAAGCCAGAGGTCCTGTGTTTGAGGAGAGCCACACCTTGAGCATATTAAAGATCCCACCACACGTATCAAAAAGAGTCTCCTTTCCAGTGTGAGTGGCTCAAACCTCAGGGTTGACATCTTAAAGGTGATAGTCAGCTGTTATATCAATCCTTTTCACAAATGTGGTAAATCTTCATAAATAATAGTATAATTGTGCATGATGCTAACTGTTGCCATGTTATGTTGTGCAGGTGAAAACTGTGGAGTATGAACACAGTGAGCTGCTCCTGTACATGACCATGATCATGAAGGAAGCAGGGATGGAGGAACAGGCGCTCAAACACCTGGAGACATACGACAAACAGATCTGTGACGTGCTCGAAGTACAAGAGAACAAAGGTGACCATTTAGTCTACTTCTTACAGAACACAAGAAAGTTTCCTTATTCTATGACTTGCAACCTTTAAAGACACCCAAAGCAATTTCAATTTTCTTGTCATTTTTTAATGTAGTAAGTTGAATCAATCCTATCCCATAGCGCACTGATATCTGTGAGGCAATAAATGCATATTTTTTGACAGAAAACGGTTGCTTAATTCCGTATTGTAGGTTGGTTCTAGCTGTTTATTAGTGGTACAAAAAAAATCAAGGGACTCCTCATGTAGCTTCTTTTTGGGCTATTTCAAATGCTTCAAGAATAACTATAACTTCAAGTATAAGATGATGATGAAAATGTGCTAAAGAAATGGCAGTGAATGTTACTATCAGATTTCCTCATCCAGAATATTTGACTTTTTCTGCCCTGAAGTTTCATTGCATGCCTTTAATTGCTTTCCACGTGTTTGCAGGAGATCTACTGTTAAAGCTTGGCAAAAATGAGGAATCAGAAGCAATCTACAGGGAACTTCTCCGTAGGAACCCAGAGAATAGAAAGTACTATGAAGGCATTGAGGCAGCTAACCCACCAAGTAAGTCACTTCGATCATAGATAGATGTCCAGGTGGAACATTATGTGACTATGTTTACCTTCACAGTAGGAAAACATTGTTTTTGCTCTGTTTCTCTAAACAAGTAGTATAAATAACCTAGACCAGATGGCTGTCACCATGGTAACTGGTGCTGTAGCAGACACCCTGTGGTGTTGGATTACATTATGTAGGAAGTAGCAGGACAGGGACTGTGAATATGAATATGAATGTTTAGATGTGCATATGTGATATGTACTTACTTTGTGTAAGCTGTTGTATGAATTTCTATGTGAGTTTCTGACATGTTTTTTGTCCTTAGAATCAGTAGAGGAGAGACTAGACCTGTACGTGAAGACAGCGGCCATGTTTCCCCGCTGTCAGTCAGCTCTCAGGCTGCCACTGGACTTCACCACTGGTAAGCCTGATATTGGTGGTGGTTTTTATTAGTGTTTTCATCTCCTTTTAATATCTGGTGACTGCTACTCTTCCAGGTGAGGAGAACATACTGCATGCAATACTTCAAACATAACATGAAATTACACACAAGGAAACACACATTTCTTAAGCACATTGTCAGAACGTACTGCGCCTGCGCAAAACCTGTAATATATCATTTATAGCCCTTTGGTGGAACATCTTGTTTAAGGTTGTTTTTGCGTATTTAAGGATGACATCCTGTCTATAGTTTTCGATTGTTGTGTTTGAAAAGACATCGTCTGCAACAGTCAAAATTCAGATGTTGACCAAACATTCAACAAAACTGTTTAAAGTTGCTGTACATTCTACCAACATGCTCATCGCATACAATGAATTCAATTGATAAAAGCTTCACAAGTTCTACAGAATTGAGCCAGTTCAAATGTGCTTTAACGTATGTGTTTCAACTTTGGGAATTTTGCATGTTTGTCATGTACCATGTGTGTAGTACAATGTACATGAAAGCTTGTCTAATACAACAGGAGTGGGCATTAGACCTTGTTTTTCTGCTATGTCTGGTAATGTGAACTGTCCTTGTCCCAGGCGAGACGTTTGAGCGGATGGCTGACCAGTACATGAGGAAGGCCCTGAAAAAGGGCGTACCTCCACTCTTCAACAACCTGAGGGCTCTGTACCAGGACAAAGACAAGGTGGGACCAGGTTTTGTTCACACACATGACAGTTGAGCTTGGAGGTCCTGTATTAGAGTAGAGCCACACCTCAAGCATGTTTAAGATCCCACCACACTTCTGAAAAGAGTAGGGATTCTTCAGTGTTACTGTGAGTGGTTCAAACCTTACAGTCTGGTCTTAAGCAGCTTTGTGTACTTCCTGCATACAAAACTGGTGTGTTATGACTAAAGGTGGTTTACTGGTAATGCGAAACAGACAAAAGCTCAGCAATTAAGGGTAATCTGTGCGAAATTTTACATCAACGTTAGAAAGATCTCCTTTGACCTATTTGTTTCACAGTATCATGGCTAAGATCTTTGTTTCTAAATTTCAGGTGGCAATAATAGAGAGATTAATGTTAGGGTACCAGGACTCTTTGAAGACTTCGGAGAAGTTTAATCCTAACGGTAAGTAAAACTTAATAACATTCAACTAGTCTGAATTGGTCCATCCAGGAAAGATTTTCAGTTTGCCATGAAATAGAGCTGAAAATGCATGTACAAGTTGTTCAATTTAGATATCTACCTGTACATGTCCATTTACATGTGTTTTTTGAATTTGTTGCATGGACTATTACATAGCGCCACCTTTGAAATGTAAAAGAAATAATGGCAATGGTTTCGGAACAGTTTTTAGTACGGTCGATAGTTTCTAAATTGGTGCTGGTAAAATTTGTCTGGTGTAGGTGAGTTTCAATTTTACCAGCACCAGTGCAGGTATGCAGAAAAGTATTTTGAGCCCTGTTAAAGTGTTTTTTTGATGTTCCAGATGAGGGTGAAGCTCAGCCCCCTACAGCCTACCTGTGGGTACTGTACTACCTGGCCCAGCACTATGACCACATGGGGGACACCACCAAGGCTCTGGAGTACATAGATTCTGCAATAGAACACACTCCTACCCTTATAGAACTGTTTGTGGCCAAAGCAAGGATATACAAGGTAGGTTAAATTTGAATTTTTCAATGCATTTTTCACAGATAAAAGGAGCAGTACTAAAAAAAAGGATTGTACTGCATTGAAAGTTCTAAGAAACCAGTTTTTGAGTTGGTGAAAGATTGTGGCTGCTGTCTGAAAGCTACTCTAGTTGAACTGTTTCATCGTGTATGTAACTAAACGTTTAATCCTTTATATACTAAGAGTATATACAGAGTGGTGTCAATTGGCAGTGGCTAGACTAGTTGACATGAGATTGAGAGGTCACGGGTTTGATTCCTTGCTAGACATTGTATTCTTGGGAAAGACACTTTACATGACTTTCCTCACTCCACTCAGGTGTAAAATGGGTACCTGACTTTGATTGGGGAGGTGAAAGGCAATGGAAGGAGAGGGATGGGCTCTACCTTCCAATACTGTACCCAAGATACAGTGGATTAACAATTCACTGTACCTAAAGCCTCAAAAAAGGGTAAGGGACTATTTTATACCTTTATACTAAGAAAAGTCTGCTTGATTCTTCAGCATGCAGGAGATATAGAGGAGGCAGCGCGCTGGATGGACGAGGCCCAGTCTCGGGACACAGCGGATAGATACATCAACTCCAAGTGCGGCAAGTACATGCTGAGGGCTGGCAAGGTCAAGGAGGCCGAGGAGATGTGCTCCAAGTTCACCAGGGTGGGTTCTGGGGCACGATAAGACTAGCTGCTGTTTAATGAAAAACTGTTCTCTAATTCAAAAATAGAGAACAAAATAGAGAATATTTTGGCCTTCATCAGCTGTCTGACCCAAGTGCTGTGGACACGTGATTTTTGTGACATCAGCATTTGGTGATAAATTGAAATATTTTAATGGAGAAAATCTTCGTGTCATTGTAATTTACATCCACTTTTCAACATATTTGTGCAATGGAGCTCACATTTCTGACATTTACGGTTGGTGATAAAATAAGCCCACACCAGGCACACACAGTTTGTGGTACCACCACAAACTACCAGAATGTAAACAAGCATGGCTGACAACTTTCTTTCTAAAGTAGTGACCAGAAAATTTACTTTTTGTACCATCCTAGTTTAACAGTTGTGTATGAATATCCCATATGTTGTTTTAAGTTAATGGGCAGGAAAAAACACTGTAGTTGTTGCTTTCTTGAAAAACTAACGTGTGCAGGAAGATGGAGAGGTCCTGGAGGTGCTGAATGAGATGCAGTGCTTCTGGTTTCTGCAAGAGAGCGCTTGTGCATTCCACAAGATGGGCAAGTATGGCGAGGCACTGAGAGAGTGCCACAAGATCAACCGGGTAAGGGGGAGGGGGGCGGCATGACCACTGTAGCCTACTGAAACGATCAGCTTATGAAGGTTGACAGTTGACATAAATGATACTTTCTGTACTGTACTGGCCTTGTATTTAACTCTTTCAGGGCGGCAAACACAAAAATATCCTGGATGAGGAAATCACATTTTTGTCCCAAAACAAAACTACGTCCTTTTATTTTTTGATGCCACCAAAAAGAACTATGAGTATGACTATCACACTCAGCTGTCAATCTCCATTAGCATAAGGTCATCACAGGACAACGACCTGTAGTAACCTCAGCTCAGACTAACCCAGCATGGGTGTGCCTCCCCAGGAGGGTGTGTCTGCCATGGAGAACCTGAATGAAATGCAGTGCATGTGGTTCCAGTCAGAATGTGCTGGGGCCTACCGACAACTCACCCAGTACGGGGAGGCTCTCAAGAAGTGCCACGAAGTAGAGAGAGTGAGTTTCACTTCATGATATGCTTAACAGCGTATCAGCAAAACGTACTGCACCTGTGCAAAACCTGTAAAGTATTGTACATAGCAATTAATAACAGAACATCTTGTTCAAGGTTGTATTTGCATATTTAAGGATGAAAAAAACATGTTTTTTTTCAAGGTTATTTGCAATGGGCAAACTTCTGATGCAACATTGAACAACATCCAACGAAAACCTTGAAAATTTTCGGGTTTTGCGCAGGAGCAGTACGTTCTGCTGATGTACACATTATCACAGCATGGGCACATTAATCATTGTTCACATTTGTTGCTGTTTATTGTACTGTATAGGTTAATGTGCTAGACTCTGCTCAAAATACCACCTGCACATGCAGGTTAGTGCAGGTAAAATTGGAGCTGTGCAGGTATTTCTGATGTCTACCTGTACCTAACCTGCACTGTACAAAAGAAATACTGTTTACAACACATTACAAGAAACATGCAAAAGGCCACCAGAAACCTATTGGTTTTTCTTAGGCCCTAACTCATAATGGCCTCATTATTAAAATTTCAAATACAGCTCATAACGTGTTTTGACATTTGTGACATACATGTACATATTGTACGATTGATAGTAAACTGATCCAATGCATGTAGCTCGACCCACATCTGTTAAAAGGTAGAAGTGCAAAAAACTTCGAAGAAATTCAAATAGTTAACAGACATGTAGCCGCTCTCTCATCAGTTGAGCTGCTAATTATGATTAACAGTGAAAATTGGTCTATTCCCTTGGCCCACAGCATTTCCAGGAGATTGTAGAGGACCAGTTTGACTTCCACACCTACTGTATGAGGAAGATGACCCTGCGAGCCTACATCAGCCTGCTCAGGCTGGAGGACATCATCAGAAAACACCCCTTCTACTTCAAGGCTGCCAAGCTGGCCCTGGAGACGTACATCCACCTGGTGGACCACCCACTGACTGACGAGGACAAGGCAAAGGATCTAGAACTAGGTTAGGAGGAATGGAAATTTGCTTCCATTCTTCGTTTTGTTTCTTCTACCGAGGCCAATTTAACTTGTTGGTTCTCTTATTTAAAAAAAAAAAATCTGAATCGAAAGGACATAAAAAAGGCCTGAGGATATCTCGTGATAGCCCCATTGCTACAATAACCCAAGGCAAGAAACCAGGGTGGTTTCTAATTCACACAATGAATTTAAACTTTTAATCAAAGCACTGCATTGATAGGTGGAAAACTGTATCAATAAGCAAGACAAGGACTTCATTCAAATATAGGGGTCACACCAGAATTTTTTTTCAAATTGGAAAAAAAATGAAGCAGGCAAATCTGAGAACCAATTATTGATTTAATTTGTGTGGTCCATGGAGCTTTAAAAAAAGTTTCCTTTTGATAGTTTGGTCATGTTGTATATGTTGTCAATGATTTTTTTTTCACGTTTGTACATGTAGCTATGTTGTTTTTTCTTCAGAAAATTTGAGTCCAAAAGAGCTGAAGAAGTTGAGAAGTAAGCAGAGAAGAGCTGCCAAGAAGGCGGCCATCTTGGAGGAGAAGAAACACCAACAGGAGATGCAGCAGCAGAAGGGCAAACGCAAGGACCCTGACACGGAGCAGGACGGTCCTAAGGAAGATGACTTGGTGCCTGAAAAACTGGCCAAGGTAAGTGGCAGTCATATTGGTACAATGAGCATGTCCATGTCGGCAGAAAGTACTGCACCTGCAGGAAACCAGTAATGTATTGTGCATAGCACTTTGGCAGAACGTCTTATTTAAGGTATATATTTCATCTAGAGTTTTCAAATGTTGTGTCAGAAAAGATGTCTGCAACAGATCAAATTCTGATGCAACGTTAACCAAACTTCCAACAAAAAACAGGAAAATTCCGGAATGTGTGGTGGTGCACTATGTTCTGCCAAGGTGCTGGTATAATGATACTTCATGTGAAAATGAAATATGTGTATGAAGTAACTGTTAACGGGGGGTGCCCTAATTCCGACCCATCCCTAATACCGAACTAGTTTGAAAAATCCTTGTTGCGGCGTTATGCATGGGAGCACGTGCCTAAAAATAACCACAAGAATGGACAAAGTTTTTGTGTTGATATCGGTAATCTCACAAAGTTTGTTTTAGTTCATACACTCCGACAACAGACGAGTCTGTGTGAATTCGACACTTGTTCAGGGGTTGACGAGCGTGTCAAAAATGCAGTTTTTGCTTTTCAAACAGCCACTTTGGAGCAAGTCGTGTAATCGTAAAAAGAGGACTTGTTTGGGACAAAAAACAGTTGTAGATTGTTTTAGTCATAATTTGTGTATTATAATTTCTAAAGTCTCTTCTCAGATCGGCCTGTGTTAAACACTAGATCGGGATTAGGGCACCCCTGTTGCGATAGAACGTTCCACCGGCAAAATGACCAAAAA